TAAAATAGAACGGAAAAGAAACTATTCTAATAGCGATTGGAACGGTTCAGAACGCTTTCCATCAAGACTAAGAACGATTTGGAACTGAGAAGAAAGCATTCCAAAAATGTATGGAACGGTAAAGAATGCGTTCCTTTAGATACAGAACGTACTTTTATTGCTGATGAACGCGTTCTACAAAGTAAAGAACCCATTCTTCACTTACAAGATCGCGTTCCAGTTTTTGATGAACGCGTTTTTTTCCGACTTTTTTTGAAATATTTTTCACTGGGTAATGGTGGTTTTATTTGTCCAAGTTATGATTATTTAGCTGATTATGTTGAAGATTTTGGTTATGAAAATGGTTGTCAATGGGTTGAATTTCAACATGAAAATATTCGATCAATAGCTCAAGTTGTAAAAGAAAATAATATTGATTGTGAACTAAATTTAACACGTGGAAATGTTGCTTTAGCTCGTACTCAAAAAGAATTAGAAAATATAGTTAAATCATATGAATTTGTTAAAGATTATTTAGAAAAACATTCAAAAACTAAAATGTCATTAGATAACCTTGAATTATGGGACCATGAAAAATGTCAAGAAATGTTACACTCAGATAAATTTATTGGTGGACTTTTTATGCGTGAATCTGGTACAGTTTGGCTTGCAAAATTCGTTTTTGGTTTACTTAAATATTGTCTTGAGCAACCTGGTATTGATTTAATTACAAATGGTAAAGTTATCCGTATTGAAAATTCAAAAAATATTATACTTGAAAATGGTCGTGTTATTATTGCACATCATAATATTGTTCATGCAACAAATGCTTATTCTGTTGAATATTTGGATTTTGTACGTGATAAAATTATTCCAACACGTGGTCAATGTAGTCGTTCAAAATCAATTGAAACTATTTTTTGGCCATTTGGTTTATCAGCAAATGAGGGAGGAGAATATTATCATCAATCACCAATTGATGGTCGAATTACCTTTGGTGGTTGTCGTTGGAGAAGTCCAAATACTGAACATAATAATCAAAATGATTCAGAAATCAATGATTTAATACGAGAAGAACATAAAAAATTTTTTTCTCTATGGCATCCAGATATTGCAACACAAAATTGTACTTTTGAAATTGAACAAGAATGGACAGGAATTATGGCATTTACTATTGATGATTTACCATTAATTGGACCTTTACCAGGCGACAATAAACAATTTCTTTTATGTGGTTATAATGGTAAATACTCAGGCTCCTTTTTTGTAAATAAAACTTCCTATTTTACGATTTTTTAGGCGATGGAGTGCCAAATGCATTCTTATGTGCAAAAGCTGTTGCTCGGATGATCGCAAATGATGATCCATATAAAGAAGGAAAAGAAAATAATACAATAACTTTTCTAAAAATGTTTTTGCCTGAACGATTTACTAATTCGACTATAATACAATGACCACAAAACAAATAGTCATTGAATTGAAGTCTTTTATTATAAATGGCAAACATTTGTCAGATAAGAAGGGTGTAGGTGTGGGCGTGGACTGTGAGCTAATATTAGTTGAGTCCACATCCACAGCCACTATTAGAGAGCTGCGGGTCCTTCCAGATCTGGGTCCAAAGTTTAATTCTTTTGTCAGTTCCGGATCCGTTTACACTTTTTTGTGGATGCGTAGCTCCCCAGACGAGAAATACAGCAACAAGATATAACTGTAAGTTGAATTTTGTCCTAAGAGTAGCGAATAACTAGGTAAAATTTTCTTCTGTCACTTGTTCGTGTACGTGGAGAGTGCCAGATATTGGTGAAGAAAATCTCGCGTTCGAACCCTATGGAGGCCAGAGTCTGGTCCTCACTAGATCGAGTCTAGATCCACAAAAACATGGGCCTGTTGCTCCCTACCCACCACACCCACGTCCACACGCTATACTCACGCACCTTTGCAAAAGGTGTACGGCGATAGACTAGTCACGATCTGTAACAAACTTAGAAGGCTATATTGCTAAGAAGAAAAAGTGGATTTTTGTAATACACGATTAAAAGTCTACTCTAAAAACCCATGTAAAACTCAAGTATTCGAACCCAAAAGAATTTTGCAAAACTCCGAGAAAGGACTCGATAGTTGAAAAATTTTCAATAACCGAAAATTGTAAATATCCAGAAATACAAAAAAATCGGAAAGTTTGCGTTTTCTTCGTTGTCTGTCGATGTGTTTGTTGAGATTTGTAACGATTTATAAGCGCTCTCAACATGTTTATCGTGGTTAGTAATATGGGTGGGTAAGTAGACCCCACTTTCTCACTATATGAAGAAGCCGAATCAATATGTTGGAAAGAAGGACACCAGGCTTATCAATACTATATAGAAAAATGGAAAAACCAACACCGAAAAGACTGCCGAAATACCTCGAAAAAATGGTGGAAAATACTAAGAACAACTATAGTACTGATACTAGCACCGAAATTTTGATTTTATTTAAAGGTACTTGTTGACCCTAACATTTCACTTTAGAGAATATCGACTTATTGTTAAATAGTACTAAGGTACACCTATTATTATTTGCTATTGACCTCAAATATTTTTTTTTGAAGATTTTTTCTTTTGACATAAATGTCTGCAACATTTGTGGGGTGTGGGTGGGTTTGGGTATGAGACTTCTCTCCATCTATCTCACACCCACACAAGTTTGAAACATGGTAATCAGTGAAATTTTCACGATTGTAAATAGAACAAATAATTGAATAGAGGAAGACGAAAATCAAAAAATTGAAAAATTATGGTGATTTCATGCTTGAATGATCTCGGATAATCGTTTTTTCATTTGAAATATCGAATTCTAGTAAGTATACTTATGCTTTCTCAGTTTTTCAAGTGTATAGTCATCGGAATTCTACACTACCAAATAATTCTCATAGTATAAGTGACATAAGGAGAATTTCGATGAAGTAGTGCTATTTTTTGGACAAGATTGGTATGGCTGAAAAGTATTCTCAAAATTAAGCTAAGTATTAGCATCATTCTAATGCTAATTTAATACTAATGCCAAAGTATTAAATTATTTGTTTTGATACTAATTGAGATAAACTACAATTATTAAATAGTTCAACAATAGTTTGTCATATAATTTTTGTTGTTTTTTATTTTTCACTCTACATGTAATGTGTTCGTATATTTTGGTTCATTTCAAATCGATAACTCAGTAACTGTACATCTAATCAATGGTCAATGATAAGCGTCAAGTCAGCAACTAAGATAACTATGTATTGATTTTCTATTATGCTAATTTTCATGTTTATATTTGTATTATTAAAAAAAAATTATATTCTATCTGCATATAAACTAATTTTGTCGCGCCTTAAGAAATATCTTATATCTATTTCTGTTGTCATTTTTATTATCTTATTGAATTCGATCAATTCTATTATCAAACAGAAAGAAAATCATATAGAAAAATATGATAAATGAAATAAGATTCAATTTAAATAAATTTGACAACATGCGCATATTTAGTAAGCATAGACAATATGCATCCGAAGAGTATGAATGATTTTATTGAATTTCTTTCAAATAAAACGAACTATAATACGAAGTCAACTTTGAACGATCATCTTTTGTATGAATGAACAGTGTTCTTGTACAACACAGAGCCGCCGGCCTGGCTTTGAGTAATACTAGTTTCCTTTAGGATAAACATGAATCATAAGACAACTATATGTTCAAAATTTTTTCGATCAACTTTCGCCAGTTTATAGTTGATTCTTAATCTCTTAATGAAAGAGTAGATATATAATGAAAAAAGTATATTGCAGTGGAAATAGAGAGAATAATGTTATTTTTCAATTGACATTCAAAGTTTTCTTCGTGTTTGTCCATTTCTCTAACGAACAATGATCTAAATTAAGTGACATTCACTAATAATAATTATGTTTTATTATCTTCTTATGGTCTCACTGTTCCAGTATCATCAAATATGAGTGTTTTATCATATGCATATATTCATTATTGTCATTACTGTATTTTAATGAAAGGATGTAGGAATTACGAAAACACAGAAAATATCAACATAATATTATTGATAAAAGTATCATTAACTGATGCTTTAAATTTCTATACTTTTGAATTTTTGGTTAAGTTGAACAAAGGACTTCTTAGTTTCAAGGATATCTTAAACTGTGAAGTTATAGAATGCAACGTGTTCACGAAATCAGAAGTATCAATTAGACTGGTTTAGCCTGCAGGCCACTCTTTGATTTTTAGCCTGGCCTGCACAAAGGTCAGGTCATGCCAGGCCAAAAAAAGTAGCCTGTTGGCATCTCTGGTACAACATTATTATGTATAAATGTATCCATTTCAAGTGTTTTATCTTCAAAATAAATAATCAGCTAAATTTTATCATGTAACATGATTTTTTTGTTTTTTAGTTTATATTTTACAATATTTAAATAAACGATTATCAATGATAAACATCATTTGAGTCATTACAAATTATTAGAAATATTATTACTTCACATGTAAATTTATTTGTCTGATGTCTTTCTAAGCAGTACACTCTTTAATATACTCCACTGGACAATAATTGATTGTTTGGACGTTTGATGAATCGAAATATATTTACATGTTATTTATAAGACGCCGTAAATCAATAATGCATCATGATGTTTATGTTTAAGTTTGCAAAACAAAAGAAACAAGATAATATAATGTAGTTTTGTAGAAACAAGTTTTTAACTTGCTGTTATTCAAGAAATAAACTTAAAAATCTTAAAGTCTGCTGTTTTTCTCTCGTATCATATGTCATAGACAATCGTTTTCTAATGTTTTTAGGTCTGGAGTAGTCAATCGCCTTCTCTATTCGAGCTTCGCTCGACTGGCAGTTTAGTTTCTTTTGATTTATAGGGATCGAGATTTGAATAATAACATTAGAATTTGAATATTTATTTTTATTAAACAAAGAATAATATCACAATAAAAAATGAGATTAATATTTTTCTTATTAGTTTAAAAAAAACAATATCATATAATGATTCATGTACTTGATGTCACCGAATAACTATTTATGATTTTTAAATTATTTGCATCTGCATTAGCTAATTGAATTCCTTTTACTTGTTGTCGATTATGTTCCAAAGTTTTTGCGCGTATATCATCAAGATTATATTCTTGTTCAATTGAAGAATTAATTTCATTAGATTGAGTTTCAGAAATAATATCATCATCATCATCAACTTCAGAATCATCAATCACAAGATTAGATGAATCAACAACTCCTGAATTAAAGATGTAAGTTTTTAAAAAAAGAATTTTCGATATGATTCATCCGTTTTCATTTTTTCTAATGAAAGTTTTCCATTAAGACGACGAACATAACGATATGAAGTAATTGGTTGAATTACTTTTGTTTTGTTATATATTTCAAGTTGTTTATCATTCATTTCTTGATCATTTTCAATTTCATTATCAGAATCATCTGAAATCACGTTCATAAATTTCTCTATTCGTTTAATAACTTCATCATTAGTTGAATAACTATCTTGTTTGAATTGTCTAATGTATAACAAATAAAAATTTATGTGATTAGTAGATAAATATTTTGGTTTTTTACCTGCTTGGTAATGCTTGAATTTTTGTTTGTAATGTTGAATCATCTGGATCAGCAATCATTAATGTTAATAAACGTCGATCATTCATTGCCAAAACAATAAAATCGTAACTAACAATCATTCTTGTTACAAAATCATAAACAAATAATCTTCCTAATTGAAAACGATCTATAACACGATGCATACATAATATTCGAGGTTTAACAAGAGCAAATACATAATCTCCTGATTCATTAAGACATAATTGTTCATATTCATTTTCAAGTTGAATTGGTTCATGACAAACACATGAATGAATATTATATAAATTTAATCGATTTTTATCATTAATAATTGTTGCTAAACAATTATTTTTTAAACAATAAATATCAGCTGTATCAAATGATATTAAATAATAAGAATTTTTATTTGTTGATAATTGAATTCGACATGAAATAAAAGAATTTCTTCACTTTTTTCACTTGTCATACTTAATAAGCGTGTTGATGAATACTGTGAAAGATCAATATTCATATAAATAATATCATTTGATCTATAGATTCCTAATGAATGTTCATCATCAGCAAGTATAATAAGTGATGGTATGAAATGAATTGTTAATATTGAAGTAAATAGTCTTGAACATTTAAAATTGAGTTGTTTATTTGATGTTTGATTAAATTTAATATTATTTTTATTTATTTGTTGAGTAATACAACGAATTGAACCATCGTTTGTGATTAAAATAAAAGTGTTTTCATCGATGAAAAACACTCGTGTTGGATAATGAAGATGAAGACGAAAAAGTGGTTCTTTATTGAGAGATTTTAATGCATAGATCTCAGCTCAATAAGTATTTGTAATAACGAGTACAGCTGTATCAGATAAAATAGCATAATCTATACATCATTGATATGTAGACATGTTAATCATACAAGTGATACTATAGAATTTACAATGAAACTTTTTGTATTACAAATATTACAAGTTCATAATGAACACGGATCGAAATATTCAATTTTAGTATGTGAACATAATAATATGAGAATTATTCATATCTAATATTTTACATAATCATCAAGTTTTTGAAGTAGTATATTTTTAGAATGTTGATGAAATTTATCGATTACATTAGATTCAGTTTCTTCTTTAGTATGTTAATAGATCATTTTTATGATTTATTAAATTATTTCTTTCGTTTGTTCATCAGAAAATAAAACATTCTTAATTCTTTGTTCCACAAATTTAAAAGCTTACTAAATTAAGATCTATACAAACTTCAATAATAAACGAAACAGTTAGTAAAAATGACATTTGTATTAAATTTTATGATCTTTATTGATCAACTAATAATTATGAATGATGAATAATACAAAAGATTTCTTTATTAGACTTACTGTTTCGATAAACTGAGTGTGACTACTTTGAATTGTGTCGATTAATACTGTTGTACGTGGAAATGGCGGTATGTTTTTAAAAGCTCCTCATGCTTCAAACATATGATATACATTAATAATTCCATTTTGCATTGAACATAAAATTATAGCCTCTATTACACGTAATAAAAAGTATGACTTTCTTTTTTTTTCTTATAATATATTCCTACTATATTTACTTGATGTTCTTATAGTAAGTACTGACGATGAACTAATTTCAATAGAAACAAATAATTGATATTTATGATATATATTACATCTGTTATGTCTATTATCTTCTCCTTCAATATATTGCCATTTAAATATATTAACAATACCACCTTTAGCAGTGAATATGTAATATGGACTTTTAGTACGTGTTGTAATAACATCATATTGACCCGGGATACGTACATATGATATATCTTTTTCCATACAAGTATGTATAATATATAAATACTCTTCTGTTAAAATTATAAAAAATATTTTCATCGATCCATCAATTCTCTTTTCTTTATCATCGGGTAATATAATTCGTTCAATTGGTTTGGGAATAATAGGTGGATTGAAAGCAATTAATACTTTAATGATTTCTTTATCAGATAAAATAATTTGTTGTGTTTGATTCAATGAATTTAAATCAATATAAGCAAAGTCAATTGGAATTGTTGAATTAAATGTACAAATTAATTTATCTTTATTAATAATAGCTTGATCTAAATGTTTACCAATATTAATTGTACTACGATGAATGAATGTTGAATTATTAAAAGTATAAAAATGAATAAATCCATCATTAAGAACAATACTTATTATTAATGAATTTAATTTTGAACATAAAACTTTTTTATTGATACTTTTGTAAATAATTTATTTTGTTCTAAATTCCAACATTGAATAGAATTAGAATATTGTTCAACAAGAATACATAAACCATATTTACTATTAATTATTTCAGCAATTAAATATCCTTTTATTGATATTTGATGAAATTTAATATCACCATGGCTTGATACAAGATAAACATGATGAAATGAATTGACAAAAAATGGATAATGTTTAAATTTTTCTCTATCTTCATCATCAGAATGACGTAAACCACTATCATCGTCATCATCGATCTCGATTTTCATATTTTGATTAGTATGATGAATAATCATGTTTGGTAATGTAGTTGAATTTAAATAAGGTTCATTTAACTGAGGTAATTTTATATCGATTACTATATCTCCTGAATCCATATCAATAACAATTATTTTATGTAATAGTGATATAGCTGCCGATTCATTACTTATAAGATTAAGATCGACAACAGGCATTGTATGTTTATTTATGGGTATAATTAAATCATGTCCTGGTGGTTGTAGTTGAAAATAAGGTACAATAAGTCCACAATGATGTGGACTTTGTTCGTCACATTGTTCTAATAATTGTCTGGGTATTCATTAAGTAAATGACCAAATACCATATAGGTTGTAAAAAGAAGAGTAAGTTCTGTATGAATTATTTCAACTTCATCGGATTCTCCATATATAGCGGCTTGTTGAAATTGATTCATATCACTTTCAATATCAAGAAATGATGAACAAATAAATTTTACATCTAAAGAAAAAAAGAATATTTTTGTTTCGAGGGTGGGTGTGTGTGGGTGTGGGTGGGTGTGGGTGTGGATGTGTGGGTGTGGGTGTGGGTGGGGGTGGGTGTGGGTGTGGGTGTGGGTGTGGGTGTGGGTGTGGGTGTGGGTAAAAGGAAGGCTCCGACACCCACACCCACATCCACACCCACACACACCCCACACCCACACCACACCCACACCCCACACACACACCACACACACACACCCCACACCCACCCACACACACACACACACCACACACACACACCCCACACCCACACCCACACCCACACCCACATCCTCTTTAAATAGTTATCGATGAAGACCGTAGCAGTCACTATTATTGGTATGAATCTATGCGGTTTGAGTGTTTTCGATGATCGCGCTTTGCTGGATCTTTATTTGATTAATTCGAATGAGCATAGAACCAATACACATCAATCTGATCATTCTGAACATCTTGTAGTTAACACAGAAGTCGAACAAATAACCATGTTCTCCGAGCGCACTGTTCATGAAGTAGGGTTCATAAATATTGGATCTAGGTTTTCTGAATGGGCGAAGGTAGACAATGAAATATACCTAGTGCTTCCCACGTAGTTATCTTGGCCAATACTTTTGCTATGCATTTAATTATCTTCTGTCAGTACTTACTACCGTAATTTATGTCCATATTTATAAGAGTACAATAATGAATGTAATTCATAATTCAATTAACGATCAATTTTAGTTATGATTAGTCAACGTTGATTGCTTCCAAATGAACTGTCTCTATCTCACGACAAGACATAAACAAATCGTGAGACATCACGAGATTCTAACTTATTGACTTTGTTGAACGAGCTCGTTCATTGAATTTGCTGCTTGCTTTCTTGCGTAGCTGCTATTCACTTGCAATCTGTGACTCCATTTCAACCAATGCTACTGTTGTTGTGTAAAGAACGTCTTTATTTACTTATGATCTCATTTTTTTCAATTAACAGTTGGATGAGGAGGTGTTTTTGTTCGGAACAGTGTTGAATTTCATTATTGACCAAGTAAAAAAGAACCACGCATCCTTCTCTTCTACTGTCAGTCATTCCCATTCAGCGCTCGAGCTGTAAATCAAAAAAGATGTTGGAGGTCAACACAAAACTTGTTTTTTACCATCACTCCCGTCGATCAATTACGAATGCGCTAATCAGAAATACGAGACCTCGATTTTGAACTGGATTTACTTCTAATTTTAATCAGAGAAATGGCATATACAATGCGATCAACAAGTTTAGGTTATGGTCCGCCGGTTACCAGTTTTCATCCCAGCCGAGATGGATTTGATTATATTGATAAAATAATGTTTTGCTTAAAAAATTGTTCGTATCGAAATTTAATTGAACTAAAACAACTGGTTCGAAAATGGATGCAAGCGGATCTGTTCGAAGCAGTCTTGTTAAAGCGGCTACTGATGTTTTTCGCGATTTACGTAATAAATATTCATTATGCAGGTTAGTTATTTGTCTTTTAGAAGTTTCTTCACATATACAATTTTTTATTAAATAGTGTTTTGTGTATTGTTTCGTAGTTGAGCAGAAAGATTTCACTCCAGCTTCACATTGTCGATTCATGGATTATTATGTATCCATGATAAATCGGATCACCGTTGCACCATCGTTATCTCGCAATGAAAAACTACTTACTCTCATGGATATCAACACTGTAAATCTTGCAAGTAGACCTGATGCATTCGTACAATGTTTCAAGATGGCTGTCAAGAGATACGATCTGATGTGTTAGTAATAGCCAAGATCGATTCATCATCGTGAAACATTTAATCAATCAGTATGCCTAGTTAACGAGTTACACTAATTGAATGTTGTTTCGAAAATTATTTGACAAAGTATTATTTTCCTTCTACAAAGACAGAAACATCATCAACACATTTTCCTCTTGGATTCTCGAATGTTGTTTCATTACATTGTTGTTTCACGACTTTTTCAATAGTTTAATTGATGCATGGTGACTTTAGTATGCATGACATATTTTTTTGTGTAGTCAAAACTGATGGATTTGTATGAATGCTGACTGACATATTTTTTTAAATAATACTAAAAGATATTAGCTCAAAAGTCTTATTGTTATTTGCCAAAATTTAGTTTGAACCTTTCATGAAAACCGATATCTATAATATTCTATGACGATATATTTTGACAAAAGTCAGGCATCTCAACGAGATTGAGAGAAAAACAAATCCATTTCTTATTTTATTCCTTACGTTACTTTTTTAAAAGTGTCATAATGGTTTACCTAAGATAACTGTAAAAAACGAGAGAGTTTAACTTATTGTCGAGGTTATTCAGGGTGGCAAGATATGCTGACCCATAGTCGGGTTTCATTGAATTTAAGTGTCACAAAAGGGTATGCATAGTTTAGGTCAATTAAGCTCGATCGTAAACGGTCTTGTGCCAAGCGGTACGACGGAGAACGACACTCGGATAATATCGCAGAGCACTGTATACACCTGTTGTAAACGGTTTATTGAACGATCGTCGTTTTCTACTGTATTTGTTTGTAAATTGTTGTCAACATCAACGATCTGCACTGATTTAATAGGAAAAAGCTTGTCAGCACAGCCTCTATGGGACTAAAATATGGAAGTCACATGTCTTCTTTATCATCATTGTAGTAATACAAAATATCTAAATTGATGAAGCTCTAACAGATAATAGTTGCTCTCCAATGATAATAAATTCTCAGTAAATCACTCTATTTTATTGCTTTCGCTTAATATTTCTGATTGGCACTCTATTTCAACAGTCTTAATATTATTTGTTCCTTATTTATTTTCTTCTTTTATTTCATTTTTCTTAGTTTATTGTTATTTTTATTTTTCTAATCGTTAATTTAACTTTTACAGAAAAACTAATATTAATTATTTCCGATGATTAAAACTTGAACAGCTCATGATTTTTGTTTTGTTTCTGTTCTGAGCATGATACATCAATAATAAAATCTTTGTATTGATTGATACCTATAATAAGTCTATTTCGCTGTATTAAATACCAAAATGTACAATACTTACGTTAATTCGAATTTATGGTAGAACTTTTAGATTCATAGGGCGCTTCGAAAGAGCCTAGAAAGTTCTAAAACGGTCTCCATTGTTATAGAAACGCACTCATTGGCCTTTGACATTGGTTGCCAAGACTTTCGGATGAAGCCGCAAAACCTCCAATTAAAATATGTACTCACTGTTTTTTTTCTAAAAATAGATGTAAGTTTAACAAAAAATCATGAGAATGCACGCTAGCTCAGGATGCGACGTCTGTAACATTGTCTGCTCCATTTGTTCTCGAAGTATTAAAGTTACGCGCAAGAAAAGCTTTTCATTAATAGACAGCAGTTCTGAAAGAGAGAGACACGTCAATTCTTTACATATAAACGAAAGGAAAAATTTCAAGCACGACAATATGGTCATGTGTCTTCATCTGTTTTTTTAATGCTGTCGTTTGAATAGCTCTGTTCTTCTGTTTTTGAAGATCTGATAATATGATTTCGAAGGTACAATGAATATGAGAAATGTAACTGTCAACGGAGCCAACGCTAAAAAATAGGATGCAGCTGAAAAATAGAGCTGCCAGTTGTATTTGATGCATTTAATAACTAAAGCAATAATTATCATCGGTAATTTGCAGATAATGATGAAAATTGGGCTAACAGTTAGGTCCTTGTGTGACTTGAATTGGTTTTTTAAAATACTCCAATACGTCTTTTTCGTTGTTTTTTGTGTGGTACGAGAAAATGCAATCAAGAGTAACACAGCTGAAATGAGATTGACCAGAAACGGAACGATACTATTAAATAGACTCATCACAGTATTGTATTGCTGTAGCCAAACTTTTGGAAACTTGACAACACACCAGAGACGCTCGTCTCAACGTGGATCTGGAATTAGCTCCCGAATAAACAGTTGATGAATCGAGGTGAGGATGAGACTTATTAGCAATGTCGGAATAACAAACTTGACCATACGAACACTGAGCGATTTGTTAAAATTAATACCTTTAATAGCAGTTACAGTTCGTTCACAAGCCACACAAGCCATGAGCCAATCGCAAAAAGCAACTGATAATTGTAATACAAAGTCAAATAGCTTACAACTGATATTGAGAAACTGTATGTTTGGAATGATAGTCATCTGACTAACAAGAAGGAAAATGAATCGACAGATAAAGATTAGTAAACTAATTTGACTAGTGATTGAGAAAATGAACAAGTAGTGGCCACAGGCATATTGGCAGATATTTAAGTGAGAAAAAGTGACAGCAGAACAGATATTTGAAACAATTCCAAAGATGAACATGAGAACGACCAAAACGAGTGTAATTTTGACAAGAGCTTTTTGTTGATGGAGAGGAGTATCTGTCACGATTTCCTGACCAAGTATGGAATCAAGAGTAAGTGAATATTGTGTTATGCTAAGCTGACAGAATGATCCATAGTAACATTCAGGACAGACGCATGCAAATTGAACTTGACCTGCTTGATTGTTCTGCAAACATCGACCTCCATTTTCACAATAGTTCCGATCAGTACAGTTCGCCACCTCATAATTGAAAATCAGACAATCAATGAGTTGATCACGATCGACTAGACACATGTAAAATTCGTCAAAGAAGCAGCGAAGATCTTTGAAATAGTGATGATAGAGTTTTGCTCTTTTCATCCACGTGAAATTCATGATTGTTGTATTCAATCGTTCGCTCACATGCACACAACGGTTTTCAAGAGACAACATTTTTGTTAGACTAGTACGATTGTGATCCAGGACTGACTGCAGGTAATAGGAACCATAATAAGAAGACAGATTGACGAAAGTTTGCACAATGATAATTGAGGGTAGAAACTGTTGCTGATTATCACGGATAGTAACTTGTGTGTTTGGATGTATGTTCTTCAAAAAATAGGCGTTCCGATGAGACAAAAAGCCTGGAATAGTTTTTGGTGTGTGCAAGAAGTGTGCAATCATAGCCGAGATGAATTCAAAATTCTGTGGAATTTGAATTATCAGTCGAGCCATTTTAAACTGACAAAACTCGCCGAAGTAATCAACTGGACAAATGCATACTTTTTGTATGGCGCGCGGATTAAGTGATGCACAATGTCCACCATTTTCACAGCGAACTTCATCGCAAGCATTATATGGTACTCGACAATTATATCCAATACGACCTAGAGTGCACAGACAAATGGCGCGCTCACCATAAACAACACATTTTGAATATGTCGTGTCACAATTCCATCGTGCACACGGATCAACATGCAAACTATGATTGCATGTGATGCCAGTCCATCCTGGTTCACACGAACAAAAGTGGCTGTCTTGAGCATTAACGTAGGAACTGCAGAGACCATGAATGCATTGAAGACGAAGACACAGTATCTTATTCAACGATGTTGGTTCGAGGTCAAGTTTGAGTGCCAATCGATTAACAGGAAGAAACGGAAATTGTATCTGATAATACCAAGCAAATGATAAGGAACCCACTTCAGTGAAAGTAACGGTGTAAGCTTCAATGTGTACGAATAAATTGCTAGACAACGGTTGGTCGGTACGGCGCGGATATACGAGATAGAGGAAATGTTTGAGAGATGACTGTTTGCTAGGCATGTAAAGCTCTGTTTCGACAGTGAGTA